ATTTATTTATTTTTAAGATTTTATTTATTTATTTGACAGAGAGAGAGAGAGACAGTGAGAGCAGGAACACAAGCAGGCGGAGTGAGAGAGGGAGAAGCAGGCTTCCTGCGAAGCAGGGAGCCCGATGTGGGACTCGATCCCAGAACTCTAGGATCATGACCTGAGCCAAAGGCCGATGCTCAACGACTGAGCCACCCAGGCGCCCTCATTTATTTATTTTTTAATTAAACTTTTGTTTGAGTGTAGTTGATAAACAATGTTACATTAGTTTCAGGCATATAACACAGTGATTCGCCAAGTTTGAACATTAAGCTGTGCTCACCTCATTAGTGCGTTTTTAAAATCAGAGCTTTATTGTAGCTAGGGAAGTAGATGGTAGAAGTACTAAGTACTTAGTAGAAGTACTAAGACAACGACACAGCACTGTAGGGTGGTAAGGGAATGGTGGTTGCTTTTATAGATCCTAAAAGACATTTTTATACTGGAGTGGCCATGTTGCTGTGAGCATTATTGATTTCTGGTGCTTTGAATCTCTTAGCCTCTTGGAGTGTGTTGCTAATAACTCTCGTTAATATTAAAATTTCAATATAGAGTGTTATACAGAGAAGCTTGAGCATTGCCACTGTGAGAGAGTCAAGTGAGGAACAAACACTGAAGGTGAAAAGGATTGGTAGAGCACGCCATCATTCATTCAGTCCTTCCTTTGTCAATAAATGGCGTGAGTGCTTGAGGAAAAAAAGATGGGCGAAATAGAACTCATCTGTCCGTGAAAGATTAACTGCTATGGAAACTGAATCCTGCTCCTGCTGTTAACAACTAAAACCCAGACTCTCATGAAGCAACTGGTTTTAGACATAAGATAGCTTGGTTTGGCATTTCCTCAGAAAGGAAAAACAAGGCGAGCCCTGCAGTTACCCGAGCTTCCTGCTGGGGGCAGTTTCCAGGCCACCGTTCAGGGAGAGGGGACCCAAACAAAGCCCAGCTTTCTGGGTTGGGGAGATAGAAATCAGAGTTCAGGGAGCCCAGAGAGGTTGGCAGGCGAGAATTCTACCACTGAACCACCCATGTGCCCAGAGAGGTTGGAATCTATAGGGGAGAACGCCACAGAGGAGGGACCTGCACAGATAAAGTTCAGGAATAGGAAGAAGGTTCTCCTCAAGTATTTGACTGACTGGTGATGACCATGACAGTGAGATACTACCATTCAACCACTAGAATGCCTAAAATGAATAAAACTTATCAAACAAGTGTTGGTCAGGATGTATAGCAATTGGAACAACCTACCACTACACATATCGATGTGGAAGAAACTTAAAAGCTTTGTGTGAAAAAAGACAGTCACAGAACGGTACATACTGTATGATTACAAATATATGACGTTCTAGAAAAGGCAACTGTTGGGACAGAAAGCAAAGCAGTGGTTGCTAGATGCCACGGTTGGGAGGGTATTGAAGGCGAAGAAACACAGGAAACCCTTTGGGATGATGGATGTATTTGTGTGTGAATTGTGATGGTATTTGACACAATTGTAAACATTCGCCAAAACTTAAAATTGTGCACTTAGAGCCAATGAATTATATTGTATGTCAATTATCTTGATAAGGATACATTTTTATAAAATTCAAACCTTCAGTAGCTCTGTAAGCAACATCAACAATGAACCCTTACAGGATTCCTATTACAGGCAGTGCAATATGCTTGGAAGTTAGGGTTGTAGCACTAGGTAAATCTCCGCCTCTACCCAGAAGATTGCTCAGTCTGTTCTGCAGATAGAACAGAACCCAATCAACATAGTTAACGAGAATGTGAAATGATCCCTACAAATGCTGTATTTTGCTGTTCCAGGTACTTAGAAGAACATGTAGTAGAGTTTTTCATCAAACAAATGGAACATATCACAGAACTTTGCTAAGATGGACAACTCGACACACAAAGACCAACACCCTGACAAAAAATATTCCAGCCATGCCAACAAATTACAGAAAGGTCTTGTGAATTTATTAACAGATATCTTTGAGGGGAGGAGAGAACTCTTTTT